AAAATGCATATGCTGGTGATAGTGAGCGTAAAAAGTGTGCAATTGATGAGATGTGAAATATATATATGGGCAATAATTATAGCACATAACACTCAAACATCATTTAGCATTTAATTAACACAATTAACAAGATAAACAATGATGAAATGCATTTAATGGTACTACCAAACGTGAGAATTTAAATCAATTTGAATAGTACCTATGAACGACACATCTTTTTGTGCACTTCAATCTTTTCCATCAGTCAGAAGATAAATGACACGTGGTTGCATACTTTGTGCCACTGACGCTTTGGAGAATGTGAGACGTTTAAACCACGCTCAGATCTTCTAAAGGAGTTCCATCTTCTTCTTATCAGAATAAGCTTCAGATCTTCTGAAGAGTTTCTCTTACTTCCCTTATCAGAATAATCTTCAGATATTCTGATGAGGCTCTAGATTTAGCTTCAGATCTATGCAGCTTGGCTCTGGCGAGTGTTTCAGAAAACTTGTCATCCAGAGGAAAGCTTCAGATCAGATCAGATCTTCGTTCTTCAGATGTTTTTGTTATCCAGAAACAAGCTTTGTTTCAGACGTTTCAGAGCCATGTATAATCTGATTCTCAGAGTTTCTTGTCACAGAAGAATATGTCTTCTAGGTAGTTAAGAACCTTCTTGATAGAATTCTAATGACTTCTCCTTCTATCTGCTAATCATCTCTTCTAGGTGAGAAGATTTGATTCAGGAGAAGCTCTTCAGAGATAGTTTTCCAGAAGCAGCTAACAGAATGACATCTGGATTTGCTTCTGAGAGGAATGTCAACTGACTTATTCATGAATCACCCCAGTAACTTAAATTCCTTCAAGAAACAGATTGAATGACTTCTGTCACTGAATCTTCTTGACACTTTGACTTCAGTATTCAATCATCATTATCTTTTAAGAAAGAATATCAGAAGAAAAAAAATCTGACCAATTACAGTTTGTTCAACTGAGATAAAATCTCAATTTAATAGAACTTAATTGTCCATGCAACATCTAATACAAACTCAGAGTTATTAAACTTCTTTACATAAGCATGCTTTAATCTGAAATTCTTATGAGTCAAATTCTTTTAGCCAACAAAATTTCTTTACTTACTAAAGAGAAATTCCCAATGAGCTTTTCATGAGAAAGTCAAGTGTGGACTAATCCGTTTCTTGAAAACATCTCATACTCACCTGGAATTAATCTTCAGCAAACAAGATTTCTTGCTACTTATGATTTGACCTTTGAGCTAATACAATGTACATCCAAACATATTTTATGAAGCATTCAACAGAAAAACTTATTTTCTGATGAATCTCTCTTGTCAGCTGATTCTTCAATCTTCTTTCAATCTCTAGAGGAGAATATTTTGTTATTGAAAACTTTCAATACTTCAAACTTCAGTGAATCACTGACTTGCTCACAAAAATCCATTAAATACAATTTTAGTACTCATCTCCGTCAGAAACTGATATGAGACTGAAATTGTAAGAGGAGTGAAAAATTCCCAGGAGTATTTCTTACATGCTTTTGGATCTTTATCTGACACTGTTAGGTGTTTGATATCCATCAATAACAGACCTGGAGCTCTGATACCAACTGAAGGTGGGAAAAATACACAAGAAATGAGGGGGTTTGAATTGGGTATTTCCTCTACTGAAACTTTTAGACTTTTTCTTTTAAGTTGCTTTCTATAGTATTCTTTTCTTTGCATTGCGGAAGCATATAAATCATGATATAAGTAAAGAACACAAGATATATCCTGGTTCACTTGAGCAACCCTCAAGCTAATCCAGTCCACCCTTCCAAGGTGATTTCGCCTCACTCATGCAAGGACTTAATCCATTATAACCAAACTGATTAGAGATATGCACAAGCTAACTGCAGGTGACTAACAAATGGACAATGACACGTTCAGGGATCCCTTAAGGATATAACGTTCATTGATCCCACAAATGACAACTGTCACTTGTCATCTCAAGTATATTGATCTTCACAAGATCACTTGAGGAACCACTAACTCTAAAACTAGAATTTATGTTGCAGGAGATTACATGAGTGCTTCTTAATAAGTAGGTTACTCCTAATTTAGTACAGAGCAAGTATTGAGCAACAACTCCTTGCATTCTAATATAGAAACTAATTTAAGGATGAATCTCAGGAGATTATTAAGAACAGTAGTTTCCACATTGCTTAAAAGCTTTCATATGTGAGCACTGCGGCTTCTTGGCGTAAAAGCTTTCCTTTGGTTATGCATACTGATTATAGCAAAACAGCAACAACAACGTCAACTGCAACCATGGCAGCATCGGTATTTGAATGACTCAAATGTTCTTCTTTTATAGTGTATCCAAGAGATACGTTGTAAGGACAGAGATGTCCATTCAAATATTTCAACTGTCATATCTCCAACGGATAGAATAGTCACGTGTTGGAAAGTACAGTTACATCACTTACTTTGTCTTTTGTACAGATCAGCTTCTAGCTTAACTTATTCTGATGATGTATCTGATGAGTAGTTCAGAAACTACTTTGGTATGATGGTGTAATAACCTCAGAGTCTTACTTCAGAACTTGTTTACTAGAGTTTATCAACACATCTTCATCTGGGTGTTGCTACATAATCTTCAACTTCAGAATCTAGTCTTCAGAGTCTTTCTGCACTTGATCTTCAGAGCCTTCAGCCTTCAGAACTTCAAGTCATCAGATTCTTCAGAACGTAATTCTTCAGAAGATTATTTCTTCAGAGTCTTCATCTTCAGAACCCTTAAGTCTTTAGAGTCTTTCTGCACTTAGTCTTCAGAGCATTCTGTCTTCAGAGCATTCTGTCTTCAGAGCTTCAAGTCATCATAGTCTTCAGAGCTTGGTTCTTCATAGGACAGTATCTCAGATGCATTGGTAGCTTCCAGATCAAATACACTTCTCAGATTAGAATCCACAAGAGCATTGCAACACCAATATACAACATCTTTGAATCTTTCTGATTATGATCAGATACAGAGGCAAACTGTTTCTTGAGTAGGCGCTTTAAATTCTTTATCCAGAATATCACATGGTACTTCACTCAGAGTTTCACTTTGTTCTTCGTTCAGAGTTTCCTTGAAAGCTATGTTTTAAGTCACGTCACACAAAGTAACTTCATATTGGCTTTCATGCACTTCTTGATATTGTTTGTTGATTTGATATATTTATTTAATGATCTGCGCACAACAAACATTAGAACATAAAATGATTCTTTCATAAATACTTAATTGTTATCATCAAAACATAGAGATAACATGTAGAGACAATTCTTGCTCTTACAGAACCTTCTTTTATTGTAATATAAATGAACTTATTGTAGATGCATTTTTGATATTTTTGTACTAAGAGGACTTTATAGAGGAAAAAAATGGGCATTCTCTTGTAACTAATATTAGCCTTTTATTATGATACTTTTATTTTTGAATGAAATGGATTTTTATTTTGTAGAACTTTGGTATATTTGTTTGGAATTTTTGTGAAATAACTTGAAATGAACTTGGAAAAATTGGGATTATAACATAGACCTTTGAATAAAATTGGATTTAGATGGATATTTGGATAATGGTTAGTGGACAGATATACGGGTGGAAGATATATACATGTAGGACAAATTTGGGGTATGACAGAGAAGGGCTCCGAGAATCGCCGATGTGTCGCGTCCTCCGCGGGGGAGGAGAGAGGCTGTTGGAAACTGGGTGACGATGTCTCCACGAGGTAGAGCGTGATGGTCGCTCCCTCTCGAGCATCCCTATTTGGTCGTTCTGTTGAAAGATCACCAGGTTGGTCTGGTTGATTGCCACGAACAGAGTCAGCATGGTAGGGTCGGTGCCTGCTGGCACCAGGATGGGTTGGTAGACAACTGGGTTATCGAAGTACTGGGCGGTGTTGAAGGCCGCGTCCTCTGAGAAGGGAGAGACAATGTGTGCTTTCCTGTAGTCGCCTTCGTCGTTGTGGACAGTCACGTTGGGGTCGTGGTTGTCCCTGTTGGCGAAGGGGACGAAAGCGATTTCCAGAGCATTGTCGTCGCGTGGGCTGGCCACGATCAAAATGAAAGTTGAAAGTTGCCTTGGTTCTTGAGGTTCTACGCTTGGATAGGAGAAAGAACGAGGAAGCAAAGGATTCTCGCAGACAGCGCCACTGATCTCACTTAATCAGAAAGGAATCAATAGCTTGTCACACGTCATGAGCTGTTGTGTTCACCGGCGTTGTAGAGGAGGAGGGGTGTGCCTGCAAGGTACTCCGATGCTTAAGTAAGTAATGGAGTTTTAGAAAGGGAAAATACATAAAGAATAGGTGTAGAGAATAATATATCTGACCCTCTAGTGAAATAGGGTATTTATAATGTGCCTCCAGCGTAGGGACAACTGTTACTTTGCATTGGATTGGATTGCAAGGTCCAATACGTGTAACTGTCAAGGCTTACGTGGCGTAGGGAATACCAACACGTGGTCTTCGCCCTAGATCAACTGCCCTATGATCTTCAGAAGGTGGGCTGACCAGTTCTTTCAGAAGGTGGATAGTTGCTTGATGACGTGTCCCCGTATGGGAGCACGTGGAGTCCGTGGGGGAAGCGCGTAATCTTCCCCGACAAGATAATGCTCTACCCGACGGAGATGCTTTGTTGAAGAACGTGTCCGACAGAGGAGGATTATGCCTTGTTGAACTTCATTAGCGTAGTAATGGGTTGGCCCTGTCCGACTGAGGGGCAGGTCTAGGCCCAGTCCAAACAAATTTCTTTACAAAGATCCCAATATTATTTTAATTAGGATTATTTAAATTTTTTATTTTTTTTATTACACTTTAATTTGTTTTGTTTACGGTATATTGAATAACCTAATGATTCCTTTTAATTTACAGTATATTGATTATCAACCCCACAAGAAAATGAAACACTTTTTTTATTAGCATTATTATATTTTTGTTACTGTCCCCAGTAAACTAATAGATTATTAGGTTCATTAATTTACTTTTATTCAATTATCGATGATAATTTTATTTGAGTTTTCAACATTTTCTCTAATTTTATTTTTTAGATTTATTTTGACTAATTTCATTATTATTATTTTATAATTAAAATTTATTTCCTCTTGACCGAATCTGTAACCTTCATTAGCATATTCATTTTCTGTGGTTTCCCTGATCAAACTAGAAGTTACCAAGGAACCGTGCATAGCACTGAATAGGGAGCCGCCGAATACACTAGCTACACCTAACATGTGAAATGGGTGCATAAGAATATTATGCTCAGCCTGAAATATAATCATAAATTTGAAAGTACCAGAGATTCCTAGAGGCATACCTTCTGAAAAGCTTCCTTGACCAATTGGGTAGATCAAGAAAACTGCAGTAGCAGCTGCAACGGGAGCTGAATATGCAACAACAATCCAAGGGCGCATACCCAGACGAAAACTAAGTTCCCACTCACGACCCATGTAACAAGCTACACCAAGTAAGAAGTGTAAAACAATTAGTTCATAAGGACCGCCATTGTATAACCATTCATCAACGGATGCAGCTTCCCATATCGAGTAAAAGTGCAAATCGATAGCCGCAGAAGTAGGAATATTGGCACCAGAAATAATATTGTTTCCGTAAAGTAGAGATCCAGAAACAGGCTCACGAATACCATCAATATCTACTAGAGGGATAGCAATGAAAGCGATAATAAATACAGAAGTTGCGATCAATAAGGTAGGGATCATCAAAACACCAAACCATCCAATGTAAAGACGGTTTCCAGTGCTGGTTATCCAGTTACAGAAGCGACCCCATAGGTTTTCGCTATCGCGTCTCTCTAAAATTGCAGTCATGGTAAAATCTTGGGTTTATTGAAATTGAATTATTAAGGACTCCCAAGCACACGAATTCTCTATAACTATAGACTGAAGGGCTTGTTATAAAACAGTATAACATGACTTATATACGGGTGTCAACCAATACCAATATCCACTGTATTCTGTTATTGATCTAGATTCAGACAAATTTTCTTTTTTTACCTTATTTCACCATCCATTCAAACAAAAAAAGGTTTTCTATATTCTCTAGATATGACTTCGCTATGATATGTAATAGTTATATATTAATTCGAATTTATCTATTAATTAAAATGGATTGCCCGGGACTCGAACCCGGAACTAGTCGGATGGAGTAGAAAATTCCTTGTTGAATCAAATAAAACAATAAAAAATACCTCCCCAAGTCGTGCTTGCATCTTTCATTGCACACGGCTTTCCCTATGTATACATCTAAACCTGAGTTCCTTCTCCAGAAGAGGAATCTTGAAACTCAACTCTGAACATTTCATAATCCTTTCTATATAGAAATAGATATATAATATTTAAGTATCATAACATAACCAATCATTCATCATGGACCAGACGTTACTGAAAAGAATATCCAAATACCAAATCTGATTTCTATGTAACCTCTACTTTGTAGAGGAATCTCTTGGAAAAATCAAAGAAAGAATCTCTTCTTCCTCTGTAAAGAATTCTTGCAATAATTCTTCTGAACCTGATCTTTTCAAAAAAGCGCGTACAATACTTTTGTGTTTACAAGCCAAAGTTTTAATACAAGAAAGCCGAAGTATATATTTTATTCGATACAAACTTTTTTTTTTGAGGATCCATTATAATAATGAGAAAGATTTCTGCATATTCACAAAAATCGATCAATAATATCAAAATCGGATGAATCGGCTCAGACCGGCTTACTAATGGGTTCCCCTATTATATTACAAAATTTCGTTTTAGCCAATAATCTAATTAGCGGAATAATTGGAACTATTATATCCAAATTTTGGATAACAATTTTGATTAGAAATGTATTTTGCAGCATTTGACTCCGTACCACGGAACGTTTTAGTCGCACATTTAAAAAATAGCCTAAAAGCTGAAATGAATGTTCGGATAATGGGTTTATATTGATCATTCTTGGTTGAGACCAAACATCAAAAAAAACATTGTCGTTAATAGATAAAATAGAGTTTCCATTTATTCTTGGTTTATATTAATCTTTTATATATATATATATATATATATATATATATATATATATATATATATATATATATATATATATATATATATATATATATATATATATATATATATATAAATAGTATATATATATATATATATATATATATATATATATATATATATATATATATATATATATATATATATATATATATATATATATATATTATTTATCAGTGCATTCACTCTCAATTTATACATAAAAAAAACTACGTTATTATTTTATTTTAATATTTTATTTCTCGTTAACTATTACAAATTTTTAAAATAATTTTTTATTTAGTTTTTTAATTCAAAAATAGGTTTAAATATATAATTTAATTTGTTAGTAAAACAAATCACCCATTACAAAACTATAAATTTTAAAGGTTTGGTTTTTTCTAATATTTTGTTAGGATCAAAATTAATGTCTGATTTTCCTTTACTATTAAAAAGATTAACTAATTAGGTATTTTATTTTGTTAATAAAATTATTATTAGGAATTTTGAAACTTGTATTATAGATTATGACCGTATAAATTTTCAAAGTTAAAAGAGAATATTAATATTTTTAAAAATAAAAAGTATAATGTATTAAACGATATATTTATTTATGACTTTATATGCGGCAACTTTAATGGTTAAAAGATCATTCTCTAGCTTATTTTATAGTGTTGACGATGAAAAATTCATCTTTAAAATATGAAAATTTATAAAAAAAATAATTGTAGTTTATATAAGTTTTGTGTATTTTGAGTTTTATCAAATTATCGTTATGTATTTTATAAATAATCAAAATACTATTTTTTAATTATATATATATATATATATATATATATATATATATATATATATATATATATATATATATATATATATATATATATATATATATATATATATATATATATATATATATATATATATATATATATATATATATATATATATATATATATATATATATATATATATATATATATATATATATATATATATATATATATATATATATATATATATATATATATATATATATATATATATATATATATATATATATATATATATATATATATATATATATTATTCTTTAGCCCTATTAAACTAATTATGTTTATAAACTTTAACTTGTTCATTCATAAAAAAAATTTATATTTTTACTTTTTACTTTTTTACTAGTCTAGTGTCTCTTTACTTAAAGTTTTTACATGTACTTTTAATATTCAATTAAATTTTTTTAACACTTTTAACTGTTCTTTGTTTCTCTTCCTCATAATGTATACACATACTCTGATTTTATCGTAATTATAATTATTAAAAGGTATTAATCAATCTTAAATTTTGTGAATAATAGAATGCACAATTTTGATAAATGAGTATTTGAGTGATTGCTTATTTATGTGTAAGAAATGACATAATAAAAAATTATTAAATATTTTTAGAATTTATAAATTTGAAGAGAGCAATTTTTTAAATCATGAATGCTTTTCTATATATTTTTTTTATCATTATCTGTCTGTTCTGGCCTGGGCCCCGGCTTGACCGGACAGGCCCAACCTAATGATATTCAGTTAGGCCCAATCCAGCTTGGGCTACGTTCGTCGAACACATGCCTCCCGTCGGGTAGATAATGACCCCTCCGCGGGCAGAACCTTCTCCCTTGTCGAGCAGAACAACGTGCCCTTCACACGTTCTCCACGTGCTCTCCTCCGCGAGGACACGTCATCAACCAACTGCCCACCTCCGAAAGAGCAGGTCAAACCCACTTTCCGGAGATCACGGGACAGTTGAACTAGGGCGATTTCTATTTTTTTTTCTTTCTATTTTTTATTTTTGACATATGTAATGAACTTTGTTGGCCTTGTTTGAGCTCTCATATGGAAAAGGCTTTTGAAAAGATAGAAGTTGCAGGCTGTAAAACAAGAGATGAGAGATCTAATTATGAGGATGTTTTGAATAGTCAAGAGATGGGAAGCAGCGCACCCATCTCCATTGTAACTACATCCGGTTTTTCTCTTCATTTTTTGTTGCATAGTATTATTTAATTATTTATTTCTTTTTTTAGTTAAAAAACTAGGGTTTATTCATGGGCCTTAGGCCTATTAGGTTTATTTGTCTCTATTAAGACTCCCACATTAATTAGTATACCCCTAGTTGGTAACGATTTTTTGTGGGCTCTAATCTTATGGTGAGGATCGGGAGCGTGTGAACCTGAGAGTTCACAATTGGTACCACATGCATTGAGTCATGAAGATGGGTCTAATTGTGTTGCATACTTGTTGTATTATGATATTTGAATTGTGTGGATCATGAATTGTGGAATGGATGATTATGTATGTGATGATGGTGTACTTACATATTATTATTGCAATTTCTTTATATGATTGTGATTTCTCACCCTTCTGTTTGAATGATGCATTTACATGGGTATCGTGCAGATAATCCACAGTAGAGGCGTGGATGTGAGTGGAAGAGAGTACTCTTCGTTATGATTTTTTTGAGTCAGCGTCTGCTCTGATATGTAACACTAAGGGCGAAAAGCTTATTTCTATTAAATTATGTTTGGTGGATATTTCATGTTAATCTCTTATGATTAATAAATTATTATGATTATCGTTTGTTATGATTATGTTTAAATAGTAAATAATCAGTTGCTGATGTTTTTCCGCTGCTAGAATAATATTGGATTTCAGACTTGTTTATTATCATTCATATTTTAAAATTTTATATGTGTTACATATTCAATGACTTGAGTTAGTTAATGTTGAAGTAGCATCCTAATTGTTGTTGATCGTTTTAAATTAATTTGATTTTATTTATAAATTACGTAGGAAATGTTAGGGTGTTACACAGTGGTATTAGAGCAGGCCGGTCTGTCCGACCAAGTTATCGAGTCAGTGTGGTGTGACAATTTAACGTTGTCGTGTTGGTGTTCTAACCATTGTTTCTGTTATTATGGTGAAACAGAAAATGGATGGAAGACACGATGCCACAATTGTTGTTGCTTTGTAGGATGTGGCTCAGGCTGTGCAGAATCAGCCTAATGTTAGGGGGAACGATGAGTTCCGACATATGGGGAAGTTTTAGAGGAATAATCCACCTAATTTTAAGGAGAGGTATGATTCTAATGAAGCGCAGGATTGGCTCAAAGAAATTGATAGAATCATTTGTGTGATGGATTGTTCAGAAGCACAAAAGGTACAATTTGGTACACATATGCTGGCTAAGGAGGTTGAAGATTGGTGTGTCAGCACCTGTCAAGTGTTGGAAACTCCAGGTGAAGTTATCACTTGGGTTGTGTTCCGTAGAGAGTTTCTGAGGAAGTATTTTCCTGAAGATGTTTGCAGAAAGAAGGAGATTGAATTTCTAGAGCTGAAACAAGGGAATTTGTTTGTTACTGAGTATGCTGCCAAGTTCGTGAAACTTGTGAAGTTCTATCCTCATTACAGTGAGGCAACTACTGAGTTTTCAAAGTGTGTTAAGTTTGAGAATGGTTTGCGTCCTAAGATCAAACAGGCGATTGGGTACCAACAAATATGAAGGTTTCAAGAGTTGGTGAACAACTGTAGGATTTATAAGGATGACAGTAAGGCTCGGTCAGCTCACTGTAAGAGTTTGAGCGAGAAGAGAGGGAAACAATATATGAATTGTGGGAAGCCTTATAGTTCTCTAGCTAAGAAGAGTAAATAAAAGGTTGTTGATGGTAAGAGGACAAGTGGGGGAGGTACTCCTGATCCTTTTAAATGCTTTAGGTGTGGAGAGTTTGGCCATCGCACCAATGAGTGCAA